AGTTAAATGAAAAGAGAAAATTTAATATCCAAAAATTCATTAATTGGGTTTTATTTGGGATTGATTTTAACCTTAGTGTGAGCTTCAGCTCTACTTTGGTGTGAGTTTTTTTGGTTGACTATATATCATGAGATTGGTGTTGCAGGATGTGTTGCTGCGGATGTTTTAAATTTTTTTAATTTTACTGGTTGCTGCTTTTTATGTTCTTTTCATGTTTTAAATGTTTTGGGCCGACATTTTTCTTTTGATTTATTTGGGCTTTGCTTAAATTGACTGGCTTTTTTATATAGTAGTTTTATTTATGTTGAATAAAATTTTCTTTTATAAAAAACTAACTATTTGATTTTTATTAGCCGTAGTTATTTAAAAAGGGGAAGACATGAATGCATAAAAATCTCCCCGATTTAGGAGCTACTAGTTATCAGTACCACGGGATAGAATCAATATGTACGATTTATGGCCTGAAAGCCCTAATAGGTAATGAGAACAGTACTTTTGGTAGTGAGCATCAAGAAGAAAATTGTGCTTTTGATTCGCTTACTGTGCTTTCGTTGAATTTGGAACCACGTTCTGATACTACCATAAAGATAAGAGTGGTTTGGAGAATATACGATTATTTTACTTCTGATGAACACGCGCATTTACACACGCACACAACTTTTCACCATCAATTCTATATCATAAAAATATAATTCATATAAATCTTTTCAGGATTGATATTATTTTTAGTTCTTAAAATTTGACCTCAATCTAGTTCTTAAAATTTTTGGATCTGACCGTCTTCTAGTTGGTGATAATAATGATGGCGGCGGTATGGCGAAACAACATCAAAAAATGGCAAAAGGATGGTGAATAGTGGCGGTTATGGAAGATTTTGAAAGAAGAGTGTGTTTGGACTAAAAAACAAACAAATTAAATATGCAGGGAAAGCACCAACTAGGCTTTGATGTCAAATTGATGTAAAATAGGAGGAGGAAAGAGATTAGAAAGAACAAAGAAGGGCAAATAAAGGACAGACAAGACGAAACAAGTTAAGAGAAAATGAAAACTGTAATATCATTTAATAATTAAGTCTGCCCTAGAACGAAACCCCTAGATATAATTATACTTAAACGATGATAATAATAATAACAACAACAACAACTAGCCCTAATAATAAAAATACTAAAATATTAATAAATCCAAATAAATCCTAAATTGATAATAAATCCAAATAATTAGATATCCTAAAAATATAATAAAATCATAAATATTTTTTTTTTGAATTTGAAATTATTATATCATTGACTTGGCTCCCCCAAAAGGAACACAGGTATTTAATTTAGACGTGGTTTTTATTCAACACCAGCATCCAAGTGAACATAATGGATTCCCTGCATGTTGGTCTAAATCTCACTCTACAGCCCGTATTGCATAAACGGTCTGCGTAGTAGTAAGACCAAACAGGGCTACACCGGAAAAAACTCCGGCTTTCCTCCATGCGGTGCCCAAAAAGATATATGCGAGCCTGAAGAACTGGAATTTTGTTCCTTCCACAAAACACGGCCAATAATGCCAGGGCATTCTGAAAACGAGGACGCAAAATCCCGCCACACCATTCACCTCGGCATTGTTCAATCCCTCACATACTGTCTTGTATCTCGCATCCATTCGTTCCGCCCCGGTTGTGATGCTTCGGAACATTTCCACCAAATCCTCGTCCTTGACCTTCTTATGCACACTTATGACTCCTTCGTCTTTAAGCAGTTGGAGGTCATGAACAGAACGGACCAAACCTTTGAAAAAAAAGCGTAGGAGGTGAATTTGTAGCCGATTCCAGTCAACCCGATTTGCTCCCAAGCAATCAAATTCCTCCATTTTACTTCTGTTGTTTCTTTTATGTGCCGTGTCAGGATTATCAGTTCTCGCTGCCCCTTCTTAAATTCTACTACCTCCGGTCCTTAATATAAGACCATGTTTGACTTTTATTTTGGTCCTAAATATAAGACCCAATCTACTTTGTCTCTCATATTTATGTATTTTTTTTCAAGATAGTCCTTCTAATAATTGTAGTCATAACCAATATAGTTTATTAGTAAGGATATTTTAGAAAAGTCAACACCTATTTATTACAAATAACTAACTTAACTTCTTTCCTTAATCTTTTCAAATTAATCAACTGGATCTTACAATTAGGACCGGAGGTAGTATTTTAGATTCGAACTTGTCCGTGAATTTCCTGAGTACAGAAGCCGCAGTTCCTGACATGTCATTGCCTACATTGTTGCAAATTTGGTGAGGAGCTATCTCGCTTTTAAAGATGAAATACGACTTTTCACTGACAACTCAAATAGGAGTATAGGAGTAACAAGGTTAAATTAATTACTTTAACAACATATTACCTTTAGAATCGTCAGTTTGTGAAGACGTAATTGTGATTCCAAAGGCCTGGAGCTTTCTAGCGCCGCGCAGCAGTTGTAGTTTAGCTTCCCCCGTTTCCACTTCCTTATAGGGATCAGGGGAGCACAAATGGATGAGATGAAGGAAATGATAAACACCTTTTGAAAAGTCAGCGTTGCATTTAAAGAGTGACTCGGCAATATTTTCCGGAGAAAGTTTGACCTTACTGCCAACTTGCCGAGAAAGTGCACGCAGACGGGCAAGTTCTGGTTGCTGAGCATCCTCCAGATGTTCGAGAAGTGTTGAGGACGAAGTTGTGAGAACGACGAAAGGGATTTGGTTGTCGACCACAGTGAGATCAGTGAGAAGACGCGAGTTCATTTCCTCGTCAACACGTGCCTCATGCATAGTGAGCCTAATCAGATGCTCCAAGAGAAAGCAGCCATCAAGTAACATCATTCTGGCAAGCTCCTCTTCTCCCATGTCTATTTTCTCCCCGTAGCTCGCTCGAATTTGACTCCCTATCTCTTTGATGGCCTCACTGCACGTTTGAACGGTCTCCGACTCCAACTTCAGCTTTGGACGGCAAAGAAGACGGTGCGCGTAAAGCCATTTGCTCTCTTCCGTCATTTGCGGGTCTCTTCCTGCGCCCCTATGAATGGGTTTTTAGATACAAGTATTTTCTTATTAGTATTTTAGGTATCCTCATGTTTATAATTGAATATTATTTGTTGTTAGGATAGATTTTCTGGGGAAAAAAGGATGGACCATGTAGTATTATTATGGGCCTAATAAGGCTTTTAGGCTGTACAAAACGAATATTGGGCTTCAAAAGAGAATCAGGCCTTAACAGGTTAGTTGGGCTTTGCCCATAAATTATTTCAGAGCAAATGCATGAAAGTTTTTACAGAGGGAATGATGTATACACTTTTAAAGCTTGAAATCATTTTAAATTGTTAGCTTAATATAATTTTTAGTCCCTTAAGTTTGTCCTCATTTTGATTTTAGTCCATCAAGTTTTAAATCATAGGTTTTGGTCCCTCAACGAGCAAAATAGTCCAAATATTCATTAATTAAAGTTTTTTTTCCCAAATCTTATCCCTGTTACAACTTATTAGAAAAAACTTCAAGTCTAAAATACTCCTATAGTCCTGTTTATAAGATAGAGAGAGAAATTTTTTTTAATCCTATTTATAAGTGACATCATTAAATTTTTACTGTGAATGTACTATTGCGTCCTTCATTTATTAGTGTAGATAGTTATCTTTTTTGAAAGATATATATTAAAGAGGGGTAAAGGTGGAAAGTTATTATATTTTAATGAAGAGTTAATGCATTTTATAGTTTTTCTTGATCTATGTGAAATATGCTGGAAGTATCTTATAAATAGGACCAGAGGAGTAATGTTTTTCAATACCATTAAGTAAAGATAAAATTACCAAAAAAAAAGAAAAAGAAGAAGTTTATTTCCAAACAAAAGCAATGAGTCAGCCACCTTATCTAATTTCTTGATGTGGCTTATAATAACGATGAGGCTTATAATGTCATGTTCATTAGGGGTGGATATTTTAAAGTGAAAGACATGAATGCATAGATATGTTACCGACAAGTGGTTAGTTGCTTCTTTTCATCACATTTGTACACAATCAATATGAATTGTTGAGGGGCCTAATATCCATGTGATAAAATCTAATAGGCAGACATAAAGAAAGCAATAACTACGTATAATAATGAGGACAGTACCTTTGCACCCCAATGTGACAGGAGTAATGTTATTTGAATTTGCCTTTGAATTTATGAAGAAAACAAGAATAATTTGCCTTTGCACATTGTTATTTATAAATTTTTTGAAATATAAAATATATTAAGCGAAGTAGAGGTAGAACAGATAAATGTAGATAACACGTACGTCGGAAGATGTTCTTCATACAACACAATTACGGCCCCTTTTAACTTCGAATAAGCAGGCAAAGGTAAAGCACAACTGAATGAATGATGCTAACAATGAAAAATTCTCCAGGATAAATATAGCGTCTCTATCTTCATGGTTCCTGTCCTTTCACTTTTATTATGCTAGCAATGATTTGTATTTATTTATCTGAACAAATTTCAAAACACTTCACTTGTGCAAAATACTATTTTTACCGCGGCCTTTTCCCATCGGTCTGATCAAATCGCTTCTCCGTTGCATCCACCTAAAAACCTTGCACTGAGATTGGCAATTGAGATTGATATCTCTCGCAGTTTTCTGGCAAATTTCTTTCGCTGAAATGTCCAGACAAGCTCATTCCATCAGCAAAAACATTTTTTTTTTCCAAATTTCGGTTCAATTTTCCTTTGCTTAATTCATATTGATGTCACGTTTCATATTGCAGAGTTTTATAAATAAAGTGGAGTTTATAAGCTTACGAACTCTCCCATTAAGCTTGTATTTATAACACTGATACTTTTAACAGAAGATCCATGTTCACGGAGATGTAGTGTGATACAGGTGAATTTGAAAATATTACATCATTGACTTGGCTAAAATAAAAGGAACACGGGTATTTAGACGTGGCTTTTATTCAACGCTAGCATCCAAGTAAACACAATGAATTCCTCACGTGCTTTTCTAAATCTCACTAGCCACGTGCTGCATAAACGGTCTGCATAATAGTGAGAGCAAGCAGAATTGCACCGACAACAACTCCGACGATCCTCCATGGAGTGCCCAAATAGATACGTACGAAACTGCGAAGCCAGTTTATTGCTTCGCTTCGAAGCAATTCCAGAAAACGCCTCCAATAATGCCACGGCATTCTGAAAACGAAGACACAACATCCCGCCACACCATTCACCTTCGCTTTGTTCAATCTCTTGCATACTTTTCTGTATCTCGGATCCATTTGTTCTGCCCCAGTTGTGATGCTTTGAAACATCTTCACGAAATGCTCGTCCTTAGCCTCCTTATGCACTTTTATAACTCCTTTGTCTTTAAGCAGTTTGAGGTCATGAACAGAGCAGACCAAACCTTTGAAAAAATAAGCGTAGGAGGTGAATTTGTAGCCGATTCCAGTCACCCCGATTTGCTCCCAAGCAATCAAATTCCTCCATTTTACTTCTGTTGTTTCTTTTATGTGCAGTGTCGGGATTATCAGTTCTCGCTGCCTCTCCTTAAATTCTATTTTAAATTCGAACTTGTCCGTGAATTTCCTGAGTACAGAGGCCACAGTTCCTGGGGTGTCGTTGCCTACATTGTTGCAAATTTGGTGAGGAGCTATCTCGCTTTTAAAGATGAAATACGACTTTTCACTGATAACTCAAATAGGAGTATAGTAGTAATAAGGTTAAATTAATTACTTTAACAACATATTACCTTTAGAATCGTCAGTTTGTGAAGCCGTAATTGTGATTCCAAAAGCCTGGAGCTTTCTAGCGCCGCGCAGCAGTTGTAGTTTATCTTTCCCTGGTTCCACTTCTTTATAGGGATCAGGGGAGCACAAATGGATGAGATGAAGGAAATGATAAACACCTTCTGAAAAGTCATCAGCTTTGCATTTAAAGAGTGACTCGGCAATATTTTCCGGAGAAAGTTTGACCTTACTGCCAACTTGCCGAGAAAGTGCATGCAGAGGGGCAAGTTTTAGTTGCTGAGCATCCTCCAGATGTTCGAGAAGTGTTGAGGACAAAGTTGTGAGGACGAAGAAAGGGATTTGGTTGTCGACCACAGTGAGATCAGTGAGAAGACGCAAGTTCATTTCCTCGTCAACACTTTCCTCATGCTTAGTGAGCCTAATCAGATGCTCTAAGAGAAAGCAGCCATCAAGTAACATCATTCTGGCGAGCTCCTCTTCTCCGATGTCTATTGTCTCCCCGTAGCTCGCTCGAATTTTACTCCCCATATCTTTAATGGCCTTACTGCACCTTTGAACGGTCTCCGGCTCCAACGTCAGCGTTGGAAGGCAAAGAAGATGGTGCGCGTAAAGCCATTTGCTCTCTTCCGTGATTTGGGTGTCTCTTCCGGTGCCCCTATGAATGGGTCCGATGGCCAAAAGCTTAGGCCTGTAAGTGTAGCTTTTGTCTTTGTCTTCGGCTTCTCGAAATTTCTCTGGAGCCCTGCAGATGCTGCATGCCTTTACTTCTTTGTCATGTACGCTTCCCAGCGTGATTGTAATTTCATGGATCCATTGATCTCCATTAGACTCTGACATTAGGCCTTACAGACCACATGATTAAGTTAATTTGTGAAAGAAAAACAGAAAGAATGAGAGAGCGGGCAATTAATTGCAGAGTGTGTGTGTGTGTGTGTGTGTGTGTGATACCTGATGAAACTCAATATCTCTTCACCTAATTGATTTCCGCTTCGCCAAAGTGGCCGGATCTGCCCTTGTGAGCCTCATATCGCCGTTATTTATAACCCGTAACTAACCAGACTCTTGGACTCACATCCCGCCCAGTAAAAAATAAGAGGTAAAAAAATAAGAAACAGAAACAACACTGATAAAATAAAAAGAGGCATGGAATGCATAGAAAATTTATGACTTAGTTATGGATAATGGAACTTGTATAAAATTTGAGCAAAACACGTTATCTTGTTGGTTGCAGTGGCTTTCTGGAAAGTGGAGGGAGAATAGATGAATAGGAAAGTGGTACATAACATCTTAAAAATAGGGGCAACACTTTTTTTTTTTTTTTTGCACTCTTAAAACTCAAGCCAAGACAACAATATTATATAACATCACTTCTCCAATTTTTAAATCCAACCTAATAAAATTTTCTCTGTTCTCTTTTTTCCTTCATTTCCCTCGTACTAAACATAGAGCAAGTGGCTTAGAGAGGTTTCCTTCCCCCCTCAAGCAATCAAAACAAAGGCAATATGTTTTTGTGTTATCTCTCGGTGCAGTAATGAGGGGCATTGCGGTGAATAAACTACAAATTTTAAATTTCGAATTATATTATATTGTTTTAATTTTGTTAATGAATAACTTTCTAAAATACTATTTATTCCTATTTGAAGTTATATATAATTTTTAAATTATTATAACACTAAAAAGTTATAGTTTAAACCTGTAAGTCTAATAAAAAATATTAAATTATTATTGGATTCCAATTTCTTTTTTATAAAGTTAAGCCATATATAGTGAAATACCCTTCTAATCCATGAAGAATGTTAGGTAAAAAAGAGGCAGCGAATACAGGTTTAAATCTCAGAAAACGCACTTGTTAGAATTTAATCTTAATACTCTTAACCTGATAGAGATTAGTCTTAATACCAAAGTGATTTGAAGAGACTCTGATTTACAATAGTAGATTACTCATATCTAGTGGATTAGGTATTGTGAGTTTTACTTAATCTCTATTTTTTTTAAATTTTGTGCTGTGCAATGATCATATGTATAAACAAATGCAAATAAGGATATTCTGTGAATGTCTGAATGATAAACAAATGGGTCCAGAAAGAGAATTTTCTCTTTATGATTTAAAAGTAAAAATCTATATAACCAGAGTTCCTGAGCAGTGGGATATGAATCAGGATAGAGTTTTCCAAAGCGTGCAGGATGCTCTCTCGACTCTCGCTCTCGTCCTCGCCCTCGCCCTCAAAGTTCCCTTCTCTTTCTTTGGTGTTATTTCGGAGTCCAGATCGATTCTCCAGTCTGGTGTGGGCAAGACAACTCGAATTCATTCCAGGTATGCTCGAAATTCTTCATTTTTGAGGTTGAGAGATGACTATGAGCTCTTCTAAAAGTTAAAGAGAACGATCACGTGATGACAGAGAACAATGGAGGAAAGGGATACGGTCAATGGAACGAGATCATGGACGAACAGCCGAAGAACCCCACTGGGCGGGAAAGTGATTCAACACCTAACGTACCATCTCCATCGCCCGCTTTGGAATGGATTGCGGTGAAGCGGCTGAAAGCTTTGTGCAGTATCAAGGAGCCGACGGTGAACGACGGAATAGAGATGGTTGGTGCAGCGAATCTTCTGAAGCGTACGAGATCCTCATGTCGTGAGACTCAGCGCGCCAAGGAACAGGCTGAGAAGGCCGCCATGGTGTTGTCTCAAGCGGAGCATCTTCGCATCAGGGGAGTGGAACTACTCTCTGAGAGCCAAAAGTCGTTTGAGAAACTACTCTAATTTGCTGCAGCTCCCATATGTATGATAACTAAGCGTAGGTTTTAGACCTTCGCTACGCCAAGTTGTCAAAGTGTTTCAATAAGGCTCTGGCCACCTGTAGTTTTTTTTTTTTTTAATTTCCTTTTGTTCTATCTTCTGGTGTGTATGTGTAAGAAGTTTCTCGCTTCTGCTATGAGAATAAGAGGGCTCTATCGGGTTAACCATAGAGAATGGAACCCTGTTATATATCTACATGTGTATGTTGATTTGATCAAGCTAGCTCATTGATCTATGAGGTTGCCGAGTTTGCTGATCTGATTTAATTTGTCAATTCTCTTCTCCAAAACCAAAATTGCTTGCAGTTGGAATTTTTCTCTTTCCCTCCCTTTCCTTCTTTCAAAATATACTCTTAATAGGCACCAAGTGCAAGCTTTAATTTGCGAGGTGTTGCCTTTTTTATTAAGCTTATACTCTCTCTCTCTCTCTATGATCCCTTACAGAGTGTTCTTTTAGAAAGAATTAACGGTGAATACAATTATTCTTATATGTGAATTAGTGACGAGGGGTAAAGATGAGGGGTTTTAACGTTACACTATTTAGTTTAGGAGGGGCAGCAAAGGTAAATATTTTTATATGGACAGTTTCATCCTCATTTTATTTGAGAAAATTTTCAGTTAGCATCCTCTGAACAACCTTAGTTTCCAAAAGCTCTATAAGCTTCTGAAACTTCGTTATATTCCTTTAACCGAAATGGAATTAAATATTATGGGTGGAAAGACAACTATGCCCTCGTGGTTTTTTTGGGGGGTAAAAAAAGATCAACCGCTGGGGTGCTGGTAGTCAGACCCCTTACCTCACGCATAACATTTAATCCTATTCTGGTGAGTCAATTTGATGCATATCGTGAAAAAAATTGCATATGTTTAAATTACTTAAAGTCTTTCCATAATTTTTTTTTTGAAATTTTAAACAAATTGATTTAAAACAAAAATAAAATTAAGTTGCGAGTTTATATAATGGTAGCCTACTCCATGTCTCTTAAGTCTGATGGATTGTTCAGAAAGCAATAACATTGACCGAGTGTAAGCCAAATTAGATAGTGTTAGGTCATAGCATATACGCATACAAATCTTTTAGATAGCGTACGGACTTTCAACATGTAAAGGAGATAATTTCCAATTGTTTTGGCATTTGCCATGATGATAAATAAAAGTTAAGGGCAATCGTTATATCACGTGGAGCTATATCTCTCTAAACCAGTGTCCACATATGATTGATTATATTTTGCATTATTTATCTTACATGTTTACATTGAAAAGATGCATGCAAGTGCAACAGTATGATTAGAACAAGCTATTTCTATATTTATATGATGTTTACTACAATGTTCTTTGAATTATGGGGGTCTACTCGTGTAATTTCTCAAGAAAATTAGCCAAAAGTTTTTTATTAGAAAAATTAATTGTGTGAAGATACATAGAGATCTAAGTTTTTTAGTGTGGGCAACTCCTTTTTAGAGGATGCAACTATTTTATAATTGTACATAAATATCTTTAATTTTATAAATTAAAAATAAATAACATATAACTTTAAAAAAAAAACTGGCATCCTCTGAAAATAGCTTGCGTGTTGGTTTTAAAACAAATTTCAAATACTTCTACAAAATTATTTTTTTGAATAAGAGACTTTAGACAAATTTCTCATATCTGTCATGTTTATTGGGGATGGATATTTAAAAATGAAAGATATAAATGTATAGAAATGTCACTAACAAGTAGCTAGTTTTTTTTTTAATCACAATACACAAAATTAACCAAGAGCACATTTCGTGATCAATAGCAATCTGGACCAATCTGGCTGATTTTGTATAACTCCAAATCGAATTTAAATGGGTTAATATAATATTTGGTTTCTTGAGTTTGTTTTTATTTTAGTTTTGATTTCTCAAGTTCTAAATTATGGGTTTTGTTCCTTCAAGATAGTCCAATTATCAAAAAATTAATTGTGTGAAGATATATAAAGGTCTAGATTTTCTATTGACGCACAACTCATTTTCAGATGATGCAACTATTTTATAATTTTACATAAATGTCTTTCATTTTATAAATTAAAAATAAATAACATATAACTTTAAAAAAAAACTGGCATCCTCTAAAAATAGTTTACGTGTTGGTTTTAAAACAAATTTCAGATACTTTTACAAAATTAGTTTTTTTAATAAGAGACTTTAGACAAATTTCTCATATCTATCATGTTTATTGGGGATGGATATTTAAAAATGAAAGATATAAATGTATAGAAATGTCACTAACAAGTAGCTAGTTTTTTCTTTTAATCACAATACACACAATTAACCAAGAGCACATTTCGCGATCAATAGCAATCTGGACCTATCTGGCTGATTTTGTATGACTCCAAATCGAATTTAAATGGGTTAATATAATCTTTGGTTTCTTGAGTTTGTTTTTATTTTAGTTTTGATTTCTCAAGTTCTAAATTATGGGTTTTGTTCCTTCAAGATAGTCCAATTATCATAAAAATTAATTGTGTGAGGATATATAAAGGTCTAGATTTTCTAGTGATGCACAACTCATTTTTAGATGATGCAACAATTTTATAATTGTACATAAATGTCTTTCATTTTATAAATTAAAAATAAATAACATATAACTTTAAAAAAACTGGCTTCCTCTAAAAATAGCTTCATGTTGGTTTTAAAACAAATTTCAGATACTTTTACAAAATTAGTTTTTTTAATAGGAGACTTTAGAAAAATTTCTCATATCTATCGTGTTTATTGGGGATGAATATTTAAAAATGAAAGATATAAATGCGTAGAAATCTTATCGACAAGTAGCTAGCTTTTTCTTTCAATCACAATACACAATTTACTAGGAGCACATTTCATGATCAATAGCAATCTAGACCATTCGGCTCATTTTGTACGATTCCAAATCGAATTTAAATGGGTTAATATAATCTTTGGCTTCTTGAGTTTGTTTTTATTTTGATTTTGATCTCTCAAGTTCTAAATCATGGGTTTTGTTCCTTCAAAATAGTCCAATTATCATAAAAGTTAATTGATTGAAGATGC